AGGTTGCCACATCTTTCTCCCATGGAGCCACTGCTGGGTTCACGCCACCAGTGTTTGAGTTAGCAGCTGAGCACTTTAACCGCTGTGCCGCCAGGGCACCTTGTGTATCTTTGTGCATGTATTTCCGTACACTGCAGAGTATGGTTTATGTGTTATCAAGTGTTCATAAATGGTGTCCTTAGAGTGTGGAGCCCTGCTGGTGCAGTTATGCACCTGCCAACTAACCAAACGGGTAGCAGTTGGAACCCAGGCAGTGGTTCCATGAGATAAAGACCTGGCAATCTGCTCCCAGAAGTATTACAGCCTGAAACCCTTGAGGACAGTTCTCATGGGGTTACCATCAGTCGGAAACAACTCAGTGCCACCTAACATCAGCAATGTTACTAGACTATAGTCTACAGTTTGCTTTTTGGACTCAACACTGTATTTGAGATTTATTTATGCCAACACATATATCTAGTTCATTCCTTTTATCTAGTGTATAATATTCCACTGCAGACTGTCCCATAGTTCCTTACCTCCCCTTCCTCTTATGGCCTTAATCACTGTGCCTGGGACAAGTCTAACCCAAACCCAGGTCTCAATCTAGTTGGGTCCCAGTAGTCATCTGAGTAACTGATGTTTCCTGCTGGTGGAGTGCCCTGCCCCCAAACCACGTAAACATGAAGTAAAACAGGAGTGGACCCCTGTCTCAGCCCAACGTCAGCATCTTTGGGCATCTTTCCTTTGAGCCTGGCTTTCTGCAGCTGGAAAAGGCTCATTTATGGTCATGTGGCAAACCCCAAACAGAAACCGGGCCCCTGAGGAGTTCTGGCCGGATTCCCAGTGGGCAAGTGAGCACACAGAAGGTCTTCCCCCAGCGCTAGGGCTCTGACCTAGGGGACCGCCTTCGGAGGCAGGCAGGTCAGGCGCACCACAGGGAGCCATGTCTCTTGGCTTTGGGCAGAGGCTATTTTTATTTGAAAGGCAGCCTTGGTCAGGGCCCTGGAGAGTTGCCAGGGGGTCCGTGATGGGAACTGACGCCTTCCCAGAGCTCGCTGGCTCCCCCTCGGCCTCCAGCGCCAGCTTCTCTGCTCGCTGGCCTCCACCTCCTGCGATACCTCCCTCGGCTCCAAGCCCCCGCTCCCCTGTTGATCATATCCACTCAGGTATTCAATAACCCAGCTCTCCCTGCCTCACTCCTCCTTCAGCCCCTGAAAACACCCTCCCTTATCTTCCATTTTGCCAACTTGGCTGGTGAAAACCCACTTATTTCTGTTGTGGGCAAAGACCCAGGGAGATGTTTTTGCCAAAGGATTGAGGGTTCTGGAAGAAAATGATAAGCGGTATTGATCCGTGGAGGAGCTCTGGTGACCTAGTGCCTAAGGCATCTGACTGCTAACTAGAAGGCTGGTGGTTCAAACCCATCAGCCACTCCTTGGAAGGAAGGTTGGGCAATCTACTTCCATAGTGATACCGCCTCAGAAACCCAAGGAGGGATCACTGTGAGTCAGGACAGATTCGAGGGCAGTGAGTTTGGTTTTTTTTTTTTTTTTTTTTGGAATTGATCCGTGGCTGACACCCCACCCTTCCTCCGGCCTCCAACCTCCCTACACCATTTCTGGTGAGCCCCATCCTTCCATGTGGGGCTGTGGATGTCCTTGCCTACCTCCCCAGCTGAACTGCAAGCTCCTAGAGCCCTGGAACAGTGTCCTTTTCACCTTCATGGCCGCATCCCAGGGACACACACACAAACCCCAGTGGCTGTCAGGTCGACTCGGACTCCGAGTAGAGCTGTGCTCCCCGGGGTTGGCAGGGGCATATTTTTCAGAGCAGCTTACCAGGCCTTTCTCCTGGGACACTTCCGGGTGGACTCGGACCTCCAGCCTCTCAGTCAGCGGCCGAGCATGAGCGCTAACCATGACTATTGCCCAGGGACTCCCCAGCATGAAATGGGTTCCCAATGAAGGTGACTGTGTGACTGATTCCTGGGAATAAACATGGAAGCTTAGCAGCAGAAGTGATGGGCTAAATGGACACATCATTTAAGGCCTCCTTCTTTTTGACCAAAAACCAAACCAAATCCGCTGCTGTCAAGTCGATCCCGACCCACAGCACCCCTAAAGGACAGTGTGGAACTGCCCCATTGGGTGTCCTAGGCCGTCAGTCCTACCCTTTTTTTTTTTTTTTTAATTGTGATTTGGGTGAAAATTTACAGCGCAAACTCACTTTCTATACAGGAGTTCACATACACTTTGTCTGATGACACTGACTATAATTTACCCCAATGCAACAGCTCCCCTCTCACTTCCTCCAGATAGTTAACTCTTCCCTGTGTCTTTCCCTCCATGTACTCTTGCCCCCTGAGCTGTCTCCCTTTGCATACACAGTCCTTCTCCCATGATTGTTCTCTCCAAGGAGTGTATCTACCTCAGGTAAATGTTTAACTCCTTTGCCTGTCTTTTATTTGGTTGGAAGCCACAGGTGTGGGTTCAATTCCAGACCTGAAGGGCAACTAGGGGCCACTCAGTGGTCCCACCAGGCTCTATCTGACCAGCAAACCTAGTCCCCACCCACTTTTGTTTTCTCCAAATGATTTTGAGTTTTGTTGCACATTGTGCTCCCTCTCTATCCAGGATTTCCAACATAGATCCCCCTCCGAGTGTTTGACACTGGTAGCCAGGCACCACCTAGTTCTTCTGGTCTCATAGTCATATAGGCTGCAGATCGCATGGTGTATCAGTTGCTAGGACTAAATTTTCCATGAATGTTTGGTTTTCTTCATTCTTCTTTGCTCTGGACGAGGAGAGACCCATCATTGCATCTAGATGACTGCTTGCAAACTTTTAAGATCCCAGTTGCTGCTCTCCAAAGTAAGAAGTAGAACAATGTTTTTTGTAGTATGTTATGCCAGTTGAGCTTGATGTCCCCTGTGACTATGGTCCCTAGCCCGCAGGTTCAACTATTTGCTCCGTCTGGGTAGCTGGCTGTGACCAAGAAGTGACTACAACCTTGTCCCTTGCCAGCTCTACTATACACCTGGGAATTCTTACAGATCATACAAATATACTTATAGGATCATTGTCTGCCAACCCTATACATGGTCTTGGGTACACTCCCCACTTCATAGACATACCGAATAGTTCAGCCTGTCCACCCATCTATCCACCCATATACCCATGTTTGCCTTCACTGACAACACAGTACTGTATGTGTAAAAGGGTTCATATTTGTTGTCTGTACCTCCCATGTCTTCCTCTTCCTCAAGGCCACCATGTTGATCACTTACATTTGGTACATTGCCCTTCTCTTCACCCAAATTAATACTTATCTCTACCTATCTAACAGTGTCCCCTCCCCTCCCCTCCAACCCCTGGTAACCAACAAAGAAAATTTCCTTCCATATATAAACCTTTCCTTGCCTTTTACAATAATGGACTAATACAATATTTGTCCTTTTGTGATTGACTTATTTCACTCAGCATAGTGTCCTCCAAGTTCATGCACATTATATGGTGTTTTGCAGATTCTGCGTTATTCTTTAGGGTTACACAGTATTCCATTGTGTGTATGTACCATAGTTTGGTTGTCCATTCCTCAGTTGATGGACACCTAGGTTGTTTCCATCTTTTGGCTATTGTAAACAGTGCTGCAATGAACATGAGTGTGCATATGTCTGTTCTTGTCACGGCTCTCACTTCTTTAGGGTATATACCTAGTAGTGGAATGGCTGGGTCAAATGGTATTTCTAGGCCGTCAGTCTTCATGGAAGCAAAGCCCAAACCAAACCTACTGCTGCAGTCGACTCTGACTTACAGCGCCCCTAGAGGACAGAGTGGAACTGCTCCATAGCATCCCCTAGGCTGTAATCTTTATGGAAGCAAAGCCCGAACCAAACCCACTGCTGTGGAGTCGATTCCAACTCACAGCACCCCTTGAGGACAGAATAAAACTGCACCATAGGATTTCCTAGGCTGTCAATCTTTACAGAAGCAGACTGGCTCTTCTTTCTCCCATGGAGTGGCTGGTGGGTTCAAACTGCCGACCTTTTGGTTAGCAGCCAAGTGCCCTAACCACTGTGCGACCAGTTCTTCTTTTTCTACCAAGAGTGTGTGTTTTTCAGATGACAAACCAGGAGAGGACTATGGTTTCAACCCTTCAATGGGCGTGGGACAGTTAGCCTCCAGGGAGATAGGAGCCGAGGCAGCATGCTGGGAAGACCCAGACCTTCAGAATCATCCGAAATCATCAGACCTGGGTTTAAGTCTCACACGTGCACCTACTAGTAGGGTGGCCTTTGGTTCACCTCGACACCACTGTGAGCCTCAGCTTCTTACCTGTACAACGGGGATGACAAAGACTGACCTTCCGTGTCGTCGTGAGGACTGGACGTGACATAACTGGAGTGACTGGCCCATGTGGGGTCCCAGGGAGCCCCATAGTGTGTTGTATGCACATCTGGGAGCCGGAGGGCTGGGACAGGCTGCCTTACGCAGTGATGGAAGAGACACCTGGGGCCACCTTTGGTAAAGTTGAGTCTTACTTCTCAGGGACTGGAAGTTTGCTGCTCATGTTGGTTCATGATGAATGCTTCTGTGATGAGAAATAACTTTATTGATCTCTGGGGCATGACACAGAACTTGATCCATGCCCTAGTCTTACTCAAGTCCTGCATGGGTTGACATGCTGACTCAAAAGTGGAAAATATGGACACGAGAACTTGAGTCTGGGCAAAACCCTACCAGAATGTCCTTTGTGGAGTCAGGCCACTTGGCTGCCGGAAGCCCTTGGCTTGAATCCCAGCTCCACCACACCCTCCCTTGGGTGATGCTCAGCTTCCGTGAGCCTGGGTGTCCACATCTGCCGAACGGGGAGAATGAGGCTGCTCCCTCGGAGGCTGCAGCCGGCATGGGCTTGGTGAACACTAACTCATTGTCTTCTTCCTTTAGAGCTCTCAGGCACCCGACTGCCCCAGGAGCCCTGTCATCTCATCACCCCAGTTCTGCTGTTGGCGTGGAGCCATGAGTAGCGTCCTGAACGGCATCGTCCCCTTGGGGCTGGTGTTGCTGGTGTGTGGAACCCAAGGCTTCTTCCTGCCCAATGCCACACACCTGGAGAGGCTACTCAGCAAATACCAGCAGGACAGGCCCCACAGCCGAGCCCGGAGGGCCATCCCCAGGACGGACAAGGAGGAGATCCTCATGTTGCACAACAAACTGCGGGGCCAGGTGTACCCTACGGCCTCCAACATGGAGTACATGGTGAGCCCTGGCCTCGCCACAAGGGGCGGAGAGACTCCGGCCGGCTACCATGTTGCTGTGTCCCCAGTCAGTGCACAGGTGGCAAGAGAGAGTCCCCCGGTTCTGTCCTTGACACTCTGCCAAGACCACACTCGTGTAGCTCACCGTCCAAACGTTGCCTCCCTGCCGACTCCTGCGTGCTACATCTTTGTAGTCCAACCCGACAGTGTGGTGTCGAAGCTCTTCCTGGGGAGCCCCCCTCAGGCAGAGTCGGGAGTGGGGCAGGGCCAGGCTCTGGGGAGTCCAGTCCTGGCTCGACCTCCCTCTAGCTTATGGCCCTGGCATCTCCTTAACCATCTGAGAATCCCCACCTGAACCTACATGCAGTAATGGGCCTTGAGTGATGCAGATGGTTAAGATGTTTGGCTGCTAACCGGAAGGTTGGTGGTTTGAGTCTGCCCAGAGTTACCCCAGAGGAAATGGCTTGTGATCCATTTTGACAGAATCAGCTGCTGAAAACCCTGTGGAGGGTGGTTGTATTGTGACCTGCGGGGGGTCACCATGAGGCAGGATCAGCTCCACAGCAACTGGTTGTTTAGAACTCCATGGGGCACATGGTTCTGATGTCACCATGATGACCCCAAATGGCCAGCCCCTGTGCTCCCACCCATGTGGGCTCTCAGGTATGAGGGGGCCAGTAGTGGGAGGCCTGGCTGAAGCCCTGCCTCTCTACAGTGCAGGGAGGCAGAGAGCCAGTGGACATGGGGGTTCTTGGGCATCAGTGTTCTGGGCTGACCATGCACCTTGGACTCCTTTCCCAGCCTGAGCACTCCCCACTTGCTAATTTAGCAGCTCACCCATGGTGTGCACGGAACCCTGGTTGCAGCAGCTGAAGATCTGCGTGCAGGTCCATCTGGGCCCCAGGCTGGGAGGTGTTGCTGTGGTTTGATTCTGTCCCCACATCCCTGACCTGATGCTTTCTGTCCCGCCGCAGACCTGGGATGAAGAGCTGGAAAGGTCAGCAGCGGCCTGGGCCCAGGAGTGCATCTGGGAGCACGGGCCCACCAGTCTGCTGGTGTCCATCGGCCAGAACCTGGCCGTCCACTGGGGCAGGTAAGACCCGCAAGTGCCCCTCCTGCTGTCAGGGAGGCAGTGTGTCGGTTTGGTTCCGCCCACTCATTATTGCATTAGCCCCCACGACTACCCACTAAGAGGGGTACCACCCTTCTTAGTCTCCTGGGGCTGCCATGACAAAATACTACTAGTGGGTGGCTCCCAGGAACGGAGTCTATCCTCAAGGTTCGGAGGGCTGACGTCCAAATGAAAGGTGTCAGGAGGGCGTGCCCTGTCCCTGCTGGCTCTGGGGGAAGCCCTTCCTGCTGTCATTCAGCTTCTGTAGCCCCGGGCATTTCTTCGTGTTCCTTGGCTCACAGATGCTCACTGTGTCTTCCCTCTTCTGTAAGCTATCACACAGAAGGAATCATTACCCCCTACTCCAGTAGAACCTCCTTTGGCCCACATAATAATCGAAGAAAAATTCCATTTCCCTCAAACAAGGTCACGTTCACGGGTACATGGGCTAAGATGTCAGTATGTCATTCTGGGCGACACCATTGAGCCCATAACACCACCCATCCCAGTGACATGGGGGAAACTTGAGGTTGAGGGATTTTGAAGGACTGGTCCAGGAGCACATATCAGTCACTAACAGAAGGGGGATTGGGGCCTAGTCACGTGACTCCAGGTGCTGACTGCTAGGCCAGGGGCTTACGGAGCGCGAGTTTTCCATCCTGACTCCTTCAGAGTTCTTGAGCCCCAGTCGCTGACACCAGGAAGGACATGGGAGGAGGTCAGGGAGAAAATGAGAACGTTTGCTCTTCCAGCTGTGGTCACTGCCGCCTCCCCTGCCCCCAGCATGTCTGGGTCCCCTCACCTTGCCTCCTGGCCCGGCCAGATGGGGGCTTGCCAACTCCTCTGTGCCTCTGAGTGGAGTGGCAGCCTCTTTGCCCCTTACCCACAGGATGTTCTTGTCCGTTTTCTGTTCCTTGCTGCCACTGACCCTTGTCCGAGTAAACCGGGCCTGCCTTCTGGGTGGAGCCCCTGGTGGTGCAAACGGCTGACATGCTCAGCTGCTGACTGAAAGGCTGGGGCTTCGAGTTCTCCCAGCCGCAGCGCAGGAGGGAGACCCGATGTCATTCTGAAAAATCTGCGTGAAAACCCTACGGAGCGCGGCTCTGCTCTGGCACACGGGGTCGGTTTGGTCTCTGTCGTTCATTTGCTTTCCCAAGGAGCTCTGCGTGTTGTGGGCCCCCGGGGGGGTCCGAGGGCCCATCGCCCAGGACCCCACCAGCACGGGGACCTACTTGGCCTCAAGTCCATAGGAAGCTGGACTCGGTGGTGGGTTTCCTTCTGTGTCACAGCTCCCAGCTGTGTGCGATTCCTTCCCCACACGGGCCCCAGGAGGAGACAGGGCCACCGCCCTCTGCCCTGGCTCAAAACAGTCATTATCGCAAGACTTCCAACTGTCTCACTGACCACGTCTCTCTCCAACACGCTCTCTGCCCCCTCATGTGTTCCGTCTTTGGGAACCGTGTCATCTGCACTTGCTGGACACAGCATCATGACCCCCGATGTGCATTCAGTTTATTTTCTTTCCTGTTAAAACTACAACAGATGGGTGGTGCCAGCCTGATAGAGGGGGCCAGAGCGAGAGTGGTGGTCAGTGCTAAGTGATGACCTCACTGAGGGAGGGAGAAGATCGTGTTGTGGCCCACCCAGTCCTCCTCCCGAGGGAGACTGAGGGCGGGCTCTGGAGGATAAGACCTTAATGTTGTTACTATGTGCTGTCGAGTCAGACCTGACTCATAGCGACCCCTCCTTGGGTTTCTGAGGTGGTATCACTACAGAAGTAGATTGCCCCATCTTTCTTCCGAGGAGTGGCTGGTAGGTTTGAACTGCCAGCCTTCTGGTTAGCAGTCCGATGCCTTAGGCACTATGCTACCGGAGCTCCTAAGACCCTAGTAGGAAGCTTAAAAAAAGACATAAAACTTATTTTTTTGGTGACAATATACACAACCAGATACTCACCAGTTCACAGTCTGTCCATGAACAGCTCAGTGACATTGGTGGCATGCTTCACCTTGTGTGACCATCCTGTCTTTTCCCGTGTTGCTTCGTCACCATTAACTCTCTTATGTGTGCTTTATTATTATTATTAAATGATACTAATTGTGTTTCTGGTGAAAGTTTTACACAGGAAATTAGGTTCCCGTTTGACAGTCTCTACACAAACTGTGCATTAGTAGCATTTTCCCCAGGGCATCCCGTCTCTCTGATTGCCTTCTGGTGGTTCTGTTTCCCCATGCTCTAGTCTCCCTGCCCCTTCTCTTCTCATCTTTGCCTCACTTGGCCCTCACTTGGGCTTATGTGAACTGTTGCCAGTTCACCCCACAGAGATTAGTCGTCACAGGAGCATCAGGCTGGAGACAGACATCCTTTATGAGTAATGATGGCTTCATGGCATAGTTTCAGTGTGAGGCTTAACGATTACCTGGCAGAAGTTTGTAACACAGTGCTTGGCCACCTGGCTGCAGAGTTTGGAAGACTTGGAGGTTTCTGCACCTTGAGTGAGTTTTCTGCTTGGCACCTGGGTCATTGGTCCCCTGTGCAGGAATGAAGCCAGGTATCACCATACAGAGTTGGAGGTTACACCCTGTGTTGGGGGGTGGGGGACAGGAACCCCTCTGCCTAGTCCTCCACAGCAGCTGTTTCCCGATTCTCAGACTCTCCCCAACCTGGTCAGTGTCCTCTGTGGGTGTCACCTGTTCAGATATTCACATAACCTTTAAATGCACTCCCATCTTAAGTCAGGTTTTTTGTCTGAACCAAATAATACCTATGATACACGGGGTTAACGGGCTGCACAGGCTTTGCCAAATGGACATGGAAAGAAATCATTATCAAAATAATAAATACTGGGGTCAGGTGAGTTTCCTGCACACAGGTGACGTATGGGCCACTGGGACACACTGTGAACCCAGAGTGACTGGAGGGACCCTCAGTGACAACCTGCTGTCCCTGGTGTTGAACACCTTGAACAAGTGCCAGGAGAACCTGGTCTTACCCCTGAGCAGCCCTGCCCCAGTATGGCAGCGCTCTGAGCTGTGACCCCGCCTATTGCACATGCGTGGCCAGCACACAGCAGGCTGACTCTGGCTCCATCCCACAGGTACCGCTCTCCGGGGTCCCACGTGCAGTCCTGGTATGATGAGGTGAAGGACTACACCTACCCCTACCCCCAGGAGTGCAACCCCTGGTGTCCTGAGAGGTGTTCCGGGCCCATGTGCACCCACTACACACAGGTAACGCTCAGGGGGCATGCTGTGGTCTGGGCCAGCACCCCAAACCCAGTGGTACGCCTCCCTTGTGGGACCACTGCTGACTCTGTGGAACTCTGGAGGGCTGTTTCCATAATTTGTTTCCTGGCAGTCAGAGCTGCTCAAAGCGCAGCCCCTCCCCCTTGCTTCCCTTGCCCCTGCTCATGCCCTCATACCTTGAGCGACCTCTAGGAAGTGCCTACAGTGTGCCAAGGTGTCACAGTTATGTCCTGTAAGACAAGCATTGCCATTCTCCACTTTAGGGATAAGGGGACTGAGGTCCAGGGACATGAACTAACGAACAAAAGGCCCCCATCCAGTGGAGCCAGAGTGGGGTTCCGGAGCGGTGTGCCCCACAGTGCCCTCAGCAACATCACCCCTCTCTGCCTTTGGCTCTTTCCCCCGTGTTTACTGTTAGCTCACGAAGGCTGTGTGGCATAGGTTGAAGCTGTCAGTCTTTGTAGCTGGAGAACCCCTACAGATCTCCAAGTACAGTCTCCCTGTTTTGGGGCTCAGAGTGGGATATGACTTGTCCCATGCAGCACAGTGAGTGAGCAATGAAACCAGGTCTGGAAGGAGCCCTGTTGGTTCCCTGTCCAATGCTCATGCCCCCAGGGGATGTATGTGGAGTCAGAAGCAACTCAGAAGAACAAAGGATTCTAACCCCAGGGAGTGGGCTGGTAACAGTGGGATTTCTGGCAGCAGCCGGTGGTGGACGACACTGCAGAGACAGCAAGGGCAAGGGCGCCCCTCAGCCGTCCAAGGGCTGCTCCTTCAGTGCCAGTGCCTTACAGCGCGAGGCCAGATGATGCCGTCCGGCGTGTCTTGTTCCTCCGGCTCTGACACGTGGCCATGTCTTTTCAGATAGTCTGGGCCACCACCAACAAGGTCGGCTGTGCCGTGCACACCTGCCAGAGGATGAACGTCTGGGGAGAGGTCTGGGAGAATGCGGTCTACCTCGTCTGCAACTACGCTCCAAAGTAAGAACAAGTTGAGGTGGCGTATGGGCTGGGGCACTTTCCCCCGACTAAGAGTGGCTTGCACAATGAGATCTCTTCATTATCTCACACAACAAGGGGTCGAGAAGTTGATACTCCCGGTTAGTGTCATAGCCTCGGTAGTGTCAGTGAGGGCTTAGGCTCTATCTTCCTGGATGCTGTACAGTCCTCTCCTCATGGTCCCAAGATGGCTGCACAGCTCCAGACATCATGTCCTCTGTCTTAGGCTGGGTTCTGTAGAGCAAAACCGTGTATGTATCTCCCTCCATATAGAGGGAGATTTATCTCATGCTGTCAAGCTAATGGCTCACATGGTGGCGGAGGCTGGCAGGTCCTAAGTCCATGGGTCAGGTGTCAGGCTGGAGGCTTCTCCTGCATCACGTGGCTGCAGGGCTGATGAACCCACAGTCAGCAGATCAGAGCAGACTGCTGGCTCCCAGGGCTGCGGACGCTGGCGAATCCCAGACTAAGCAGATAAGACGACAGGCTGCTGGCTCAGTTCCCAGAAGCAGAAGTCAGATGGTGATGAGCCAGATGCAAGGCCCAGAGCAAGGAAAAGCCTTGCCGAGCATCTGCATGTGTAATGGATGCAGGCCGGCCACACCCCCGAGGAACCTCCCCTAACATCACAGTAAGGGTGAGACTTGAGCAGGGGTGGGACTTGAGTAGGGGTGGGTCTTGAATAGGTGTTAGACTTGAGTAGGGGTGGGACTTTAGGGGTGGGACTTGAGTAGGGGTAGGACTTGAGTAGGGGTGGGTCTTGAATAGGTGTTAGACTTGAGTAGGGGTGGGACTTTAGGGGTGGGACTTGAGTAGGGGTAGGACTTGAGTAGGGGTGGGTCTTGAATAGGTGTTAGACTTGAGTAGGGGTGGGACTTTAGGGGTGGGACTTGAGTAGGGGTGAGACTTCAGTAGGGGCGGGACTTGAATAAGTGTGAGACTTGAGCAGGGGTGGGACTTGAGAAGGGGTGGGTCTTGAATAAGGGTGAGACTTGAGCAGGGGTGGGACTTGAGTGAGGGTGGGACTTGAGCAGGGGCGGGTCTTGAATAAGGGGGAGACTTGAGTAGGGGCGGGACTTGAGTAGGGGCAGGACTTGAATAAGAGTGAGACTTGAGCAGGGGTGGGACTTGAGCAGGGGTGGGTCTTGAGCAGAGGTGAGACTTGAATAAGGGTGAGACTTGAGTAGGGGCGGGACTTTAGGGGTGGGTCTTGAGTAAGGGTGAGACTTGAGTAGGGGCAGGACTTGAGCAGGGGTGAGACTTGAGCAGGGGTGGGACTTGAGCAGGGGTGGGTCTTGAATAAGTGTGAGACTTGACTAGGGGTGGGACTTTAGGGGTGGGACTTGAGTAATGCTCAGACTCAGGAATCCTGTGTCGTGAACAGATAGAGGTTAGGATTTATAACCTCACCAATGTAGAACCATTACCTCAGGTCACAAAATGGAGGACAAGTGCACACTGCTGGGATCCTGGCCGAGCCAGGTTGACCGATCACAGTAACCATCACGTCCTGCTCCTCAGCAGGCCCTAAAGAGGACGGTAGATAGGATTCACTGTTCGGCCTTTCTCACCCCAGCACCCTTTCCCCTTAGGTCATTGGCCAGAACCCAGCCAACCATGGACAAGGGGAAGTGGCCCCAGTTGGTTTCACAGGTCATCCTCTGGGGCCACCTGAACAGAGTCGGGTTCAGTGACAGCTGTTGGCTGGGCCCCCAGGGGTCTGCTGGCAGTTTCCCTTCTTTCCCTCTGAAAACTCAGCAGATAGCACCTTAGCAAACAAGTATTCACACTAGACTTTGTTTTGGCATCTGTTTTCCAGCATAGCAGAGACCACGTACAAAACCCTTCTCCCGCTGACATCACCGTTGTCCTGTTGCCATGTCACTCATTCCCTCGCTTACTCACCTTGATTGCGCACCGGACAAACATTCCTGCAGGACTGTTGACCCACTTTGCAGCCTGTGGTTGGCAGGGCTGGCCGGTGGGCTGGCTGCCACCCTGCACACAGGGAGCCCTCCTGGCATATTTGCTCAGGGCTGGGATGGAATGGCAGTGACCTCACTCATTTGGTTTGGATCAGAAGTGGCCGTGAGGAGGTGGGATAAAGGGGGGCCCTGGCTTGTCTGTGGGACCCAGAAGGACAAGGTATAGATTGTTGCTGGCGAGGGACCCCACCCGGACCCCACAGAAGACCATGACCTGGCAGAGTGGCAGCTGGGGTGGGGGTGATGTAATTTGACCCTTGGTGTTGATTCAGCACTGGAAGCCCCTAGCGTCAAATGTGTTTGCCACCTCTTGAGCCCCGCCCTCTCCTTAGGACTCACTCACATTCAGTGAGACACAGGACTGTTAAGGTCCGGCCGGGTACACTGCCACATGTGTATGTACAGGAAGGACCTCTGGGGCGGGGCACAGTGGTTAAAGCCCTCGACTGCTCACCAAGAGGTCGGTGGTTCAAACACACCAGCTGCTCTGCAGGAGAAAGATGAGACAGTCTGCGGCTGTAGAGGTGACAGCCTTGGGAACCCTACGGTGGGAGCTCTGGTAGCATAGTGCCCAAGGCACTTGACTGCTAACCAGAAGCCTGGCGGTTCAAACCCACCAGCCACTCCTCGGAAGGAAGATGGGGTAATCTACTTCCGTAGCGTATTGCCTCAGAAACCCAAGGAGGGGTTGCTAGGCACATCACAACACTATGTGGGAGCTCTGGTAGCATAGTGGCTAAGGCACTTGACTGCTAACCAGAAGGCTGGCGGTTCAAACCCACCAGCCACTCCTTGGA